TCAATTTTGCTGTGAACGCCATCGACTGCGTTAAATTTGGTGAACATTGCGGCCTCTGTTGTTCTATTTCTGTGGATTCCTCCATCTCGTAGACAACTGTTAACGTCTGTTATCGGAATTGTCAGAGAATTAAACGATCTCTTTCCGCGTGTTTCTTTATCGAGATGGCATCTAAAGGGTACGAAATGACGGTACATGTATGTTGGAACATTGGGTGTGAGGGAAAGATCATTGTGGATTTCGAACTAAAGATTTCCGAGGCCGTGAATTCCAGGTTCCAGGTCCGTTTCCTGTGTGCCAATAACACAAAACAACCGACCCTCGTTTCTCCCTTTCTCGTGTGGTTTTACAACTTGTATCAACGAAGAGAGATAGAATGAGACTAAATTTAAGGTTTACACAAATAAAATTGCTAAGTAGAGTTTTTAAGGTGACAATTAAAGCGTAGCGTAATTTTGAAATGAATAGAATGAAAATGTTTCTGTACTTCTTGGTTAAGAATGAATTTTTCAGAAACTCGAGTTAAAAGTGTTGCTGATATGAAGCGGACAATATAATTAACAATCCCCACTTAAACTCTATACTAACTAGTATGTCAAAAATTGATTGGTCCACAAGTTTATGAGTACTGGTAACTGCAACACAATGTCATTAACATCGTCAGAAAGCAACATGATGGGATGTAATTACGGAATCAATGAATAAGTATAAGCACTCCTTTATGATTATGTGATTGAAGCCTATTATTTCATAACAGATTTACAGACATTTCAACTTACCAAATTATAGGGTATCTATATTAATTATAATTAGTATCACCATAAGTTAAATATTGATATTGTGTACCCATTTACTTCCATAAACTGATGTTCATAAATTTAAAAATCATTTCACGTAAGTGTTTTTTTATCGGCATTGTACCGCATTTCACAAAAGGCACTAAAAGCTTAAATTAGACCAATAGACCAGAATTGTAAATTTATTATCGTGTTTTTAATTAATGAAAAAAAGATAATTTCCGAAAAGCGGATGTTTTCACGTTGTTTTTGTTTTCTACTTTTTTAATTATACTCTTCGAGATATATCTGCAGATAAGAGCCGTTGTTATTACGGTAATAATTATGAAAACTAATTCTAAACGAAAAACAAAAGTCCCACATTGTTTATTAAAGCCTAGTTATCACATATTTAATAATATAGCAAGATTTCCAAATGTGAGAAAATTTTGCAATTCACATTTTAACTCTGGTATTCGTCGATTTTCAGGAAGGTTTAATTTTCATGACAAACTTAGGCCCCAACATTCCAGGGCAAAATAAACATATCTTAAAAGATCAGTCGAACATTTATTTTGTTTTGATCGAAGTGAATTGCGGGCCCTCTTCATTTCTCTAAAAATAAACAATCAAAACGGTGCTTTTAAGATTCTACGCATAAAAATAAGACTTCAAGAAAACGCCGACGTCGGTATACTTATTTACATTAGAACATTGTCGATTGATTTTTCATCTGTTTGAGTTTCTTCTAGAGCTTCCAACTAATGAAATGTAATCAAACTCTCTGTTTCTATTTGGAAAACGCAATAAAATTTATCAGTGTGGTAAAGGCAATATTTATCTGTTGCGTTAGATAAGAACATTACCGACTGTGGCTGTTAAATTATGTGCACGAAATAATAATAAACCATTTATCATCAGACGGCTAATCCTTGATGAAGAGCAGAGATAAAAATTGGAGGCAATTATGTAATGAAAGCCGAGTTATCGACTCGCCGGATTAATAACCGTGGATGAGAAATAAATAACAATGGTCTACAGTTATTTAGACAAAACCTCCCTTGCCCCTAAACAAACTGAAGGTCTGAAACAATTCTACAAAACAACGTCTCAAAGTACACTTTTCAATAAACATTTAAGTAACTTTTGTGATGACGTAATTAACCCTGTTCTTGTTATTCTATAATTAAATCAGTCTTTAATAAATATGTTGTTAAGATTTCATAGAAATGAAATTATCATCATTTGAGATGGAAAAACCAAGACAGATCTAATTACGACTGTCCAAACTTTAACGAGGGAATATTCCGCCATAAGACACTTATTTATTTAAACTCGACACTCAACAGCGAACACGAACTCATCTTTTCAAGTTGCGGAAAAGAAGTTTCGAATAACACTAAGGCGGCATTTTATCGTTAATCAAGTTTTTGAATCGTAAAATTCTCTTCTTGTTGATGTAGTACATAAAGGGCGTTCAGTGATTGAGTATATACTTAATTTATAATTTCCCATAGTTCGGCCTCTGTGCAATTGCGTTTTTTAACAATCGCAATGAAATTGGGGAATCAAGAGCCATATTTCTGTCGAAGTTGTTCAAAGCTGTCTCGCTGCTTTCATTTCGGTAACTAGATTTAATTTAATTATTTAAATTCTCGATTATTTATGACTATAATCGCTCCATTTTTCATATTCAGAAAAAAAAACTATGAAATCGAATAAAAAAATATATACAGTGCCAATTAAAAAATTCAGCTGACCGTCATCTGTCGTTCCTCAAAAAAAAGTCAGCTGGCCTCCTATTATAGTGTTTTCACAACGATTTTATTTGGTTTATCGTTTATTTAAATCAGGTAAAAAAATAAGCAACACCCGGTATATACATGGTGGCCAAAAATCGTGCACTAATTGTATGACACGTTGTTATAGACTGTTTATTAAACAGAGAAAAAATAATTTCAACAATCCTTGGGCCTAGATAATGAAAACACAGCTTTTCAAAGTTTAAATTTATTTCACTACTTATTCGTATTATGGGTACATCTAATCGATGGGACTTTCATTATTCAAAATAATTTATTTTGAAGGTACCTTGCCTTTATCCATCGTTTTCGTAACTTTATATCACAAACAAAAACTTTTTTGATCTACATATTTAACTAATTTGATATTTTGTTTTTGAAAGTGAATGCCAAACTGACCAAAGGGTTTTTTTACTTTTCTCCAACTTACACTTGTAAAATTAATCATTTACCGCTAAATTAGTCGCCATTTTTTGAGCACCCTGTGTGTGCGTGTAAAAATCTAAGCTATTATAATTTTTAAATTTTCATATTTGATATATTTCATTTTCAAATTGAACACTCTGTATTTATTTGTTGCATCGTACTGTTTTCGATCCCTTTCTTTAGATACACCCATATGTTGGTGTTCGTTAAAAAAAATCTTTTAATTGTAATGTATTAGACAATGCTTATCATCAATGAAAGAAAATAATATTACATATTTTTTTATAAACAGACTGTATGCAGACTCAATTTTATATTTATATTTTGTTTACGTATCTATAAAATAACGCTGTACAAGTGACAAAAATCACTTTATTACGATTTTTTGTGAACCTTATAGGTGTCAACAAATTGTTATAGAAGTCGAATAATTTGGCAAATAATGTCTGCAGAGAGAAATATAACATAGTGCTCTATTTAAAAAAAACTAAGTTGTTATGTGCCTTCTCAAAAGAAGATATTGTCTAGAGCTGAAAATATGTTACTTTATAGAGCTCAAAAAAAGTAGTACAACTGTTGTCACTGATTATTTTTTACCTCTAATATTCTTCGTACCTTATTTTTAAGATGTGTTTTTTCACAGGTAATATTGTTGATCATTTTTTGTAAAAAAAAATGTTTGTGTGTGCTAAAAACGAGTAACAGCTTCCGAGATTCAGTCTTTTTGTTGTCACTTTGTACCGTTGTTCAAATTGTTAGTACAAATAACTTTAAAAAGAGAAAAAATAGATAGAATTTTTGCGGTTTCATGATAATATAGTTCAACATTTTTTTGCCTCACTGGTTTTTTATTTAACTTACGTATTTTATGTTAATGATCTCGATCTAGGCGTTTATTTAAATTTTTCATGAAACTTTGTAACCTATTAAAACATTGCTTCAATAGTACACTTCGAATAGTGTAATTTTACACGTTTAGCAAGTAAACAGTTGACTAATATGGTGTTAATTTGGGTTTCTTGTTGGAATTTTTTTAATTTTATTAGTTCTCGAAATTTTATTTTAAAAAACTAAATTTAGTTTGTTTTTGACATTTTATTGTTTTATGACTTCTGTTTTCTTAATTTTTGGATGTTACATAATTTGATCCAGTTTGAAACTGTTTTTCTGTATACTATTTAAAAATTGAAAAGTTGCCAGGGTTACGTGCTTTCGTCCTTCCATTTAATGATTTTCACAAAAGTGGCTATAATGTGACCAATAGTGGCCACTTCGTCTAGGAAATTTTCACCGTTCCATACGATTTAGAAAATTTAATTTTACTACCTAATAACAGTAAAAATGTTTTTCAAGCTTCTATTACAATAACAGGTCTATTACTTCGAGCTAGAAGACAGTAATAAAAATATTTCCTCGACATATGGACGCGTTTGGTAATAAAAATCCTCCATTCGCGCACCAATAATTCCGCCTTTTAACCACACCGTGTTTTACCCGTGTTACTGTTCCCCGCCACAGATAAAAGCATCCGTTTATTTTCCTCGTATACTTAAGTGTGCAGTCAAAATAAATAATCTGTAATGTTTGAACATTCAAGCGTTAATTTTAGAGCATCCTGTACGTTAGATTTTTTCTCCAACAATCATTTGACCCCTTGTCAACGCGGTTGTATTCAATCAAATATTTATGAATTGCAATTATGTGTTTGCTATTTAGTCGAGGCCAACTGCGAATAAATAAATTGAATGACCACACCGGAAACCTCCGTCTCTATTATTACGCATCCGATAAAAAAAAGATCAAACAGAAAAACAATCGACGTCTCATTAAATCCCCCACCACTCGTGACGCACATAAAAAACACAAAATCAATCAAAAAAACAAAAAACTTACGGTCGCACTATCACTCCTGAATCAAACAAAACACTTCATCCAATTGTAGCAAATGAAAAAGTAAATAACACAGCGTCGCAGTCGCCTTAGACAACATTAACAAAACACTGCCGAGAAAATGTGATAAACGCGCGGGTTTAAATTTAACACATGTGTTGTGACGTCAAAAATGGCGCCCGGCTAGAGGTTATGTCGAAAAGTGACGTTTTCTTGTCGCAGCCGCCCTAGTTCCGCGTTTAAGCGAATAGATAACGCGATAAGATAAGATGCGCTTTTCCCGAGATTCGAATTTCGCGCTATCGCGGACAAAAGTACGTGATTTTTAAATTAATGGTTTTGTACACACGGAATGGTAATACAGTGAAACTTCCACATAACGAACTGGCATTTTACGAAAATTTATGGTAATTTTGTTTCTGTTTTTCACAGATTAGCTATAACACTTTAAGTAATATGCTAAAACCCATATGCACTAAGTAAATGACGCAGAATATCTAAATTTTTTGCATATAATTGAATTAAATTTTACTGAATAATTGTTCTGGAATACCCAATAGTTTTTTATTTGCAAATCCATAAAAATGGTGATCGTGATGTGTATTGATTATACTTGTTATTAGTTATTACTGCACTAACTTTGACTATTTTATTGGATAAGTTATTGTATGCTATATAATTTTAATTTTTTTTTATCTGTTTTATGCTACTTATACAAAGAGATAAAATTAAATCACATATTTTTTTTAATGGGGGAAATATCAAAAAGTAGTTTTATTAAGCAAATTAGAAGGTTTATTTTTCGCTGTACAAAGTCTATACACATTTAAATAATTAGAATAAATAATTTCCGTGACATTTGACCAGTTCCATAGTTTTCCCGTACCTTGTATATGTCTAAATAAAGTAAAAACATTTACTAAAAATTTTTCATATGACCCAGCGAGTTACCAAGGTTTGTAAAATTTTATTTTATAATCCTGAATTTTTAGAATATACGTAACGATAAAAATAAGGATGGATTATGAAATCACAGATATAAGATCATATCATTGTTCACATTTCAAGTGAGATTTACTCATCAACATTTTGACTGACATAAAAAATAACATAGCAAAATATTTTTTTATAGGTTCAAGGTCGAGATCAAGGTTATACTACTTCTCCCCACTGTTATTTAGATTTGCGTTTTGGGCTTCTAGTTTTGGATGTAATCCACGAATAAAAGCGTACATAATAAATAACTAATAAATAAGTCAGTGAGTGGACCCTGAATTCATAACAATAGCAAATCTTAACCAAACGTATATCCAGGATAATCGTTGAAAAAATAAACATTTTTAGGACATTTACACATCTAAAATGCTACTTATTCAATAATATTTTGGTATGACGTCATTAATTTTTAGAAGAGAATGACTAGACTAATGTTAGCGTTTTCCCGTCCACACATTAATCTTGAAAAAACAAGTACATAATTGGTAATTTCCAAGGTTATTTGTCAAATAAAATAAAAAACAAGTACACGACCAGTACACACACACCCGGAAATGGCAAACTTGTGTTTTCGTAAACTCCGAAAAATGATTTTTCAGTTAATATTAGAATCGATTATTGAAAACACTCTTTATTTTAAATGAAATGAAATATTTTTTTCTGCGCACTGTAGCTTCTGATAGTAATATCGGAGTACAAGTAATTTATAAATTGTGTCAATGACACTTTGTTATTTGGAACAATTGCATCAGTCATAACATCATACAAAAACATGAATAATTTCCTTATTAGACAAAAAATTGTAATGTTGTTTGTGTTCTTTGTTGTTGGTGAAATTTCCATTTTTAGGTACAATTTTTGAGGTACATGTACCTGCCTGGAAATTTTTTCACTTGACTCGAAATAACGAAAGAAGAATTGTTCGTAATATCTGTGTCACGCCATGATACATATATTGAATTAGTTGCTATGGACAAGTTGGATTTAAGTTACTATGGATTTTATGTTCTTGCATTTGTTTGTTAATAGAGAAACAAACAATATTAACAACACCACTCTCATCATGTTTTTGCATATTTACACAGTTAACATGTTTAAAAAAGCATTGCCACCTCAAAGTTAACAATTACAATGAGGTAGGGAAAAAAAATTTACAGAATAAAAAAATTGGTCGAAAGTTATTTCGACAGGACTTCCCTCGTCCCCGAAGTGCACTGCCACAAATCCCGCTTCTTTGAAAAATTAAAAAAATTGATTTTGCGAATTTATATATTCGTGATAACCTCTATACATTAAAATAAATATAGATAAGTAACACCAGTAACCGCGTAAGAAGGTAAATGACATCATATAAATTAATTTTGATAACCTATTTTTTTTTGTTTGTCTACCATATATCACTTATTTTTTAATGACACACGACATATTTTTTAGAGATCTTGTAGAGCCTAGACGGTACATAGAGTGAACCAGGAGACCTAATTTTTTTGTACTGTACGGCCATTCACTGCAAGAGGTATAAAATTAGCAAAAAAATAAGACAAATAAAGGGAGAATTAAATTTAATTTAACGAAATAACAGAAATTGAGCGATAATTTGAGAGACGTCTGTAAGAGTTAACGGCATTGTTTTTATGTGAAAACGTTTATTAACTGCCAAACTTATAATCAAATGATGAAAAACACTGTTTACAACAGCCTCCTTTATTGTTTTAATTAAGAAAATATCGTACTTCGTCTGTTTGTTATTTTGTTAAATTAAATTTAATTCTGCGTTTATTTGTACATCATGTGTCAATAGTGAATGGTTTTTTAATAAAATAACTATCACTAGTTAAATTAATAATAATTTTTAAAGTGGTTTTGCGAAATTTTTCAGGATGGCCGGTTTTTTGCCGATCAGTGTATATTACTTGCGGAGATTATTTGTCTAATAAAAATCCGTTACGGCAGACAGACAGACAGACAGACGAACAGACAAACAGACGGAAAATGGAGACCTATTTCTTCATACTCTAGGGGTCATGAAAGGTCGAGAAAACGTAAAAGTAGAGAGTCGACCGACGGACTCGATTGCAATACTTCCTTCGCTTACACTCGGTAAGTAATATTTTATTTGCATTATTCGCAGTAAGTGGAAAAGTAAATTTAAGGATTACTAGCATATTTTCTTACCATCCAGAAAAAATTTTAGCTTGCAGAACACTCATGAAAAAAAGCATGATTCTTGTGAAAAAACCTTAGAACAATTTGCCAATTCCTGTAAATTTTAGACAACAAAAGTAACCAAATTTTCCTTTATTTAAAATTTAAATTGTGTTTTCTTGTTGGGACCATCAATAGAATTTAGCACTTAGCATTAATTTTCCAGCAGTAATAATATAAAAAAAAATAATTTCTAAGTTTTGTATACTTAAATATTCAATACAATTACCAAGTTCTGAATGTTTAATTAATTAGTTTCATGATAATATTTAAAGCTGGCAACAGTGATCGGGTTTCCAACACATTTCATAACCTTAAAAATGTGACCACCTAAATCGACATAAAGAATGACAATCCTTCACTTTTGATTACCACCCAAGTTCCTACATTTACATCGCTTGCTATGGTCTAAAGACTCGTCAATGATTTTTCCAAGCCTTCTGATACCTTTGCCATCTACTTTTATCCTGTATTATGATAACACTACAGTGAGGTAAAACTCAAAAATACTAAAAAATTATTTTTTTTTGCCAAAAATTCAAAATCAGTAAAAATTTTAATTTGTTCCTCATTTTGTCAGTAATACCCAAAAAGTTCTTTTGAATCACTGATCTATTGCCTGCACATAAGTGTAAAATCACAACTAACATTTGGAGCGGTAGTTTATTTTATGAGGATGAAACCTTTGACGAGCCGTTAGTCGAGTTCCTAGTCATTTGAGAGTCCCAGAAACTTTGTTTAATTGAAAGATTATTTATATTGTCCGTTTAGATTTTAACATTTAGATAAAATTGATTAATAGATTTGCATCAATGTACTAATGAAGTTGTATTTGATCATGTTATTTTTCAACTTTTGTATTTCGTTTTTTAAGTATGTACACATATAATTGCTATAAAAAATGCCCTCATTTTACTCCCTTTGGGTTCAATTTATACAATACCTCTAAAAATACCTTTCCTTATACAGTTCATCAACTTTTTAATGAAGCTTCCGCTAATTTTGTTATTCGTGACATAACACTAATTAAGACGTTACTGTGCTTTAGACTTTAAAACACCCAAAAAACTTATTTATTCAGCGTCTTCATTATTTATTTTAATCAATTTAAAGCACAATTGACCTTTTCTTTATTCATAAGATCAAATTTATCAGCTTAGGTCCGGATTTCAAGTCGACTTCACGTCGTTCCAAACTGAATACAATAACCAGATTTTATTGGAATTTGAGGTATCTTTAATAATAAGAAAATATGTAATTTTTGTGCATTACTTAGCGCCTCTGTAGAATGTTTATTTGTTGTTAATTTAAATTACAGAACATTCAATCAATCAAAAGATAAAATAAAAAAATTGTTCAAAGAACATATCCAGGCTTTTCGAAAAACTATAAAATTTGATTCTGAAATTTTTTTTAGTAGTCCTCTAAATTAAAATAAAGATATGTATGTAATGTTAAAGTAATTATAAAGAAGTGCGCTACGCGTATGTTTCAAATCTAGTTTTTGTTTACAAAATTTTGTGATGACGCCATTAACATTTTTACAATGACACCTATATCAGTAGAGACAAGTGCAGGGAAATACCAATAATAAGAGTATTGTACTCCCACATTTTCGAGAAAATGGAGTGAGCTGTTCTTGAATTAATCAATAAAATAAATTGACTCATTCATTTTTTTTTTAGTCACACTGTATAAGCAATTCTAAAAAATATGAATGCAATGATAAATTACAGGTATAGGTAGACTCATATATTTTGCACATTTTCGATAGAATTTATTCAGCAAAATTTATGACGTCATCGATTTTTTGAGGAGATAAATAGATATATTTTGATTAAAAATTTACCATGCTTACGATAACCTTAAAACGTCTGCAATATTTCAGAGCATTTGGTCTTGCAGTTTCAAAATTAAATTGCAAAATGTTATACAATGTCGATTTTTTACAAAAATATGGTGTCTAGGCTCAAAACTCAACACGGATTCATAAACTACACGTGTAGGACCGGTGGTTGGAAGTAATTCAATGACAAGTAATTCTTACTGTAATTCAATTCCTTTCCAAGTAATCAGTAATTGTAATGCATTACTTTTCAAAAAATGTAATGAGTAATTGTAACGAATTTTTTTTTTTAAGTCACTTTTTTTTAGTCACTTTTTGCAATTACTTTTAACCCAAATAGTCAAAAATATTGTTTTGGTTCTCTACGAATCATTGACCTGACGTGTTGGGATTATTATACCTGGTTCGTCTCCACAAAGAGAAGATTATGAGATTATCTGGTTTTCGCTATTTATCAATTTTAAATTTTCAAAAAGGTACATTAATAGAAATTGTATTAAAAAATCCATTGCGCTTTACAGAAATAAAATATCTTAATAAATAATTGAGTAAACAGGGGCAGAATATTTAAAAATTGTGGTCAAACAAACTTTAGCCATTTTTCTGGTTCACTCAAATCTATAACAGGTAACCGATAGAGCGCGTCCTTTTAAACCCCTCATAATCCGCCAATAAAATTTGATGAGAGTGTCCACCCTCTCAGGTTTTGTAAATTTAATCTGTAAGTCACAACGCTAAGTATGAGGCAATTAAATAAGTTTACATTATCTTGTAGCCCCCTTCTAAGTATTTAGGAAGATCCTTTTTATTAAAGAGTAAAAGTTTTGCGTTGGCAGGTAATTATCGGTGGACTAATATTTACAATACATTTACACGCAGCCAATAAAATATTTTGAAATTTCCCACCAATGCAAATTTTTGTTTAAAAGTTGTTGCAGTTGGCATCGAACTTTTACTTGTAGCTAGAGTGGAATGAAATTAAGCGCAAAAGAATCGGCTCTTCAATTTTTTGTAAAATATGTAACATGTTGCCGCACAACAATTCCATCTAGGGCCACAGTGGAACTGGTAATTGTAATGAATTCCTAAAAAAAAAGTACTCCTAATTTGTAATTGTTGTGAATTACTATTTTTACTAAATAATAAGTAATTGTAATGCATTACTTTTTAAAAGAAATTATTTCAATCAGTGTGTAGGACTATTAATATTGCTACTTTTTCCTATAGTAGTTACGTTAATAAAAAAAAAACATTTTGTATTGAAAATGGAATAAATATTAAACCAGAAGCACAAGCTCAACTAATCCATAGACACTACCCCGCTAAAAATTTCGTCGAGTAGAAAAACTAATAACAATATATGGAAGTTTCACTGTACATTAGCGACAACATACGAAATAACATAAATAAGGTTGCTATAAAACCCATCGAGTGTTTAGCTCAGAAACACAAAATCTATTCCAGTCACATTTATCACTCGTCAACCAAACAAAACATTAACCAATCGATCCCATCATTATATCTGATCAAAAAGTAAACAATACAGCGTCGCGGCGGGTTTAAATTTAACACATGGTACCTATGACGTCAAAAATGGCGCCGGCCGAGAGGTTATGTCAAAAATGACACTTTCTCATCACAGCCCCCCTTGATTATCTAAAAACGACCAAGTATCGCGGCAAAGCAATATTGCCTCTGTCGCCCGCTTCGAATTTCGCGCGCTCGCGGCCTGCTCGATCAGGGCGAAAATTATCTTAATATATTGTGTACACACAGAATGTAAATAATACATACCTTGACACTCATCCTTTTTTCCGCGATGTCTTGCCGTGGAAAAACACAGACGAGGTGACGTTTTGGCACTGCGATGTCTCTTTGTTTGGGTCGTGTCGACGCCCTGCGTTCAAAATTTGCGACGCCAGACGTCCTCAGAGCTGATTATTGATTGGTCGGTTTATACACGGTGAGGCTTTGCGGAAAATGACTTTGGTTGTTGAGAGTGACAGCGCGCGACGATTATCGATTGGGAGGCTGATAGCGCGCAATTGTTTTTTTTTTTTAATGTTGCAAGTGGGAAAAATTGGTGGCTGGTTTTTGGTTGATACTGTTTTCGAAGTGATAATAATCATTGTGTCTGTTTCTTTAATGGCAGGTTTCAAGTAAGGTGGTAGCACTGGTAGACGGGTTGGACACTTTTTCAAAAGTATCAGATGTAAGGAAACAGATTTAAATTTCATTGGTGGGGGGAAATATAAAAAAAAAAACTATTATTGTGGTGGCCAGTATATGGAAAGCAAAAAAATTGGTCTAAAAAGTTTAGATACTTTTCTTAAATAATTCACTAACTTTTTCATGAAGATTAAATGATTTTGAATATCTCGAATATAACGCTGATCAAAACGTTGCTACGTTTTACAGTGTGAGATGCCCAAGAAACTGGTTGAAGCAAATGGTTTTTGACATATTCGGCCGATTCCAATCTTTTGGTCTACGCTGTATGCTTCGATTTATTCATACGATCTCATGAAAGCTCTTTGTTAAATAATTTCTGAGATAGACTATTGTAAAATTGTATTTTGCAATATCCTATAGATGCGTAAAGATAAAAATAAGGATGAATTATTATAAACCCCAGATAAAGTAAGATGTCATTCTGTACATTTCAAGTAAGATTTACTTTACAAAATTTTCAGATTAATTTTTTTAAAACAATAAATAAATAAAAAATGTTTGATAATTTCAAATTTTACAAGATAAGATAGTTACTTAAGTAAATCGTATTTTTTGTGCTGAATGTTTACTTTCCGAACGTAAACAAAGCAAGTATTGTAACCGGGTCCGTCGGCTGATTCTCTACTTGTACGTTTTCTCGACATTTCATGACCCCTAGAGTACGAAAAAATAGGTCTCCCGTTTCTGTCTATCTGTTTGTGCGTCTGTCTGCCGTCTGTCCGGGTGTTCATTAGACAGATAACCTCGGAAACTATTGGAACAATTGTCAAATTTTGTATAAATCCTATTTAAATTTTATAAAATATCATACTTCTTACACCTGTTGTTTATCAATCCGCTTTTATTTTTTTTAATTTAACTTAGAAACTGCAAAACCGACTACTTTGAAATACCTGTTGTAAACATTTTAAGGTTATCGTAAGCATGGTAAATTCTTAATTACTTTTTTCTTTGTTTATCCCCTCTAAAAACTTGATGACGTTATCCCAAAATTATGCTGGATAAATCCTGTCTAAAATTTGCAGTTATACAGGGTGTCTCAAATGAGGCAATTGCATTGGCAACAAGATCGTAATTATATGTAGAATTAGGACGTACTTCTAGTCGATTGCATATTAATCTGGGACAACTACTGGGAGCAATTTTTGGATACTTTAAGCGGTGTAAAACTGACTTTTGATAGAGCAAAACTAATCTCCCTTCTTGTTCCTATGCTTTTTTAAACGGGAAAACTAATTCTTATCAAACTATAACGTACAACTGATTGTGTGGTTGGTTACAGTTTGAGCTTTTGGGGTTCCTAATAATTGGGTAGCCATAGCAATAACCACAGAAAAAAGGGTCGAAAATTATTTCGACAGAACTTCCCTCGCTCCTGAAGTATAATAAAACACTTCCAGCTTTTTCGAAAAATTATAAAATTTGATTATACGAATTTTATTTTTTTTTATGAGAATCCTTATAAGTTATAATAAAGATATGTATGTAACGTTAAAGTAAGTATAAATAAACGTGCTGCGCGTACGTTTCAAATGAGTTTTCCTTAAGAAAATTTTGTGATGACGTCATCAACATTTTTTGTAAAGACACATATATCACTTTGGATATGTGCAGTGTAATACTAATGATAATAGTATTTTATTGCCAGATTTTTGGGAAAACGAATTAAGCCGTTACTGATTTAACCAATAAAATAAATTGACTCATTTATTAATTTCTACGAGTCAGGCTGTATAAGCAATTAAAAAACTTTTAATGCAGTGTTAAATTACAAGTATTGAGTCATCGTATTTTGCACATAAAGAAGCGCCTAGAAGCGGAAATCTCGGTAGCGGGCTCCAGAACAACCTCGAAGCCGTGATCGCGAGCTCTCTGGAAGAATACGCTTAACTGTTTAAATACGGACCACTGTCAGAAGCAGGGAGTAAGTTAATGAAAGAATTAACCAATTAACTTAAATCCATTCCAATCGATAAATGTGTACAAGACAAATTGATTCTGAATTATTCTGTACGTAATCGCTGTACAGTCAGCCGTGTAGTTTTGTCTTACTAGGAAATAAATTGTTGAGTTTTACCCACGCCGATTTTAATTACCGATCATCGTAACAATACTTAGAATTCGTCAAAGCATTGCTCACATACAAAAATTTCGCAAGAGAATGGAAAATTCTGATATTTTTCGTTCATAATTTTCGTCTCAAAAGAACTAACTCTTTATCAGTTTAACAAAAAAACACTATCGACTCAAATGATAACTGGTGTTTTACTTCCCGAGCGTAAGCGAAGTAATCGAGTCCATCGGACGAATGGCCACTTTTATATTTTCTCGACCCCTACAGTACGAAAAAAAGTAGCTTCCCGTTTCCGTCTGATACGTATTCCCCGAAACTGTATTTTTGTATGTATATTAAAACTATCATGTAGAATTGTAGATGGTCAAACGCTAACCAAAATCTTGCTAATCGTCCCCACCAACAATTTGATGACGTCATTTCAAAGATTTCCATGTTTATATGATTTAAATGTTATACAAACATATACCCCTATACGTGTAGTGTTCGAATCCGGATCGGGTTTTTTCCCTAATTATCCAAATTTAAATTTTCGCAAAAACATTTGCACAATATAATAAGAGTCTGCCATTAGCGTATGATGTCCAGATCGTGTTTCAGTAAGTAAGAGCTCGGAACCCGGTCGGCGGCCCCGCGTTCGATGCCAAACTTGGTCTTTCGTTTTTTTTTTTTATAAAATTAAGAACGAATCACCCCATTTTCTCGAAAAGATGAGAATACACCCGTCTTTATTTAATAAAAATTATGATAATAATAATAATAATATTCAGAACATTCTGTTCGACTGTGGCTTGATTAATAGTTTTAGTCCCCCGTTTTGAAGCAACAAACTCATTCAAATCAAACAAATTTCCACGTGACATTCTTCCGATGTATAAACAAGCAATTTCAAGTGCTTGTTTATGCATCGGATAAAAGCTTGTTATTGCTGCTGAGAGTCCATTTATTTTTTTCTCGTTGATTATCTGCTTTAAATATACAGGGTTAGTCACGAGAAAATTACTCCTGAAAATTATTTTTACCCAACCGAAAATACTAATATCCTATACTACTTGATATTAACAGAATTTAAAATGAAATGGTTAATCCACGATTAGTTTGACTTTGGTAGTGTCATTTTGCCAACTGTGGACAAGGAGGTTACGTGAGTGTCCATGGTCGTACCGTAGCCACTCGGACATAATCCCCGCTGGCGCCGCTAATAAAGTTGTCAGGACTTGCTTCGAGCTCCTCTTGATCTTTTGCAATGGTACGGATTAGTCACGAAAGAATTATTTCTAAAAATTACTTTTGCAACATTGGGTTCTGAATTGTTCAAATTTTCCACATTCATTTGGGTTTGTAAAAGTGAAATTTTGCTAACAAAATTAGAATAATTTCTAATTAACTTACATAACAGGTGAATTATTGTTCGCATCGAAGACATTTCCATCATGTTCTTGTATTAATACTTCTGATACCTTCTTAAATGTGGCTAACTCTTCAACATCAAAAGATACTGATCCAACATTTTTACCGCAAGAAACACCCACAACACTTCAAACGTTGAAAAATTGCAAAATGTTGCGTTGTTTGTTTATATTTTTCATGCTAACAAATTTATTGCATTGAAAGGAACTTGATACTCTGTTATTCAATAAAAGTTATAATGAAGTTTTTTACCTAATTTTATAAAATCTTGTGTGTAATTTGACAGGAAAAGTGTTTTTCCACATTCACGACATGTTTTTGATCTCGGCTTCGTCTCGATCAAAAATCTCATGTCTAGAATGTGGAAAAAAGTAACTTTTCCTATCTTATTGCACAAATAGTTATTACGACATTTTATTCAAAGGGTACAACGTAAACTTAAAAAAGTAATTAAATAATTTAATTACTATAACAACTGTTGAAAATGTTGGGCATGTTGGGGTGATGCTACGGCGTTTTTGTAAATGGATGTTCGAAGAGACCCAGAGACTGCAGACTTGCATTTCGAAGAGGCTCTAGGTGAAGCAGAGGTGGCGAACTAACACATGTACAATGTACATTAGTGGGGAAAAATATTGACAGAGCACTTACCATTCAGTATAGCGTAGATTGATAGAGGTACGTCGATCCAATGAGGCTGTAAAGCGGAGTAAACGATGAAAAAAAAATGTTAAAAATTAACTAACGTCAAAGTGACACATAAATCAAAGTAATCGTGGATTAAGCATTTCATTCTGTTAGTATCAAGTAGTACAAGGTATTAGTATTTTGGGTTCCGTAAAAATAATTCTCAGAAGTAATTCTCTCGTGACTAACCCTGTATATATTTATTATTTCTCAAAGAAGCGAGGGGAGTTCTAGGAAGTTCTGTCGAAATAAACTTGAACGATTTTTTTTTTAATTAATAAAATCGTGTTTTTTTTTTTTGAAAGCGTACACTTATTTTGACTCAAAGATTATTTTGAAATCGGACACTTAATTTGAGACGGAGGGAGTATTATTTAAACAATGTTTATTTTTTGTCATTAGAAGAATTTTTATGTACCGCGTGATCAGAAATGTCTGTTGGCAGTAGTTTTTAAACAAAAATGTAAACTTTTCTTGCGTTTATGTTGGCATAACAGAAGTAATTTTGTGTCAGATACCTATGTCAATCGTGACATGCGATAATGTTTTGGATACATTTTGCAAATTAAAAATGACAACAATCTGTCAATCTGTTGACAGCAGACAAGTGAAAATTATAGAAAACATCATGATACCAATTTCAACTAAAGACCCAGGATTGTCAACAAACATCAGTCATATCTAGAGAGCGGATTTATAAGCACAAAAAAATTAAGAATAAGCGCTTAAATAAGCACAACATTTTCAATAAAAAAGTTTTATTTTAAGCAAGAAAGCATTAAAAACATAATCATATTACAAATCAAAGAACACTTCTTAGAACTTGGGATAAAATATTATTACAATAATCCTAGACTTTATATTTTACACACGTATTTCAGTTTTCTTTAAAACAATTTATGATTGTAATATGTTCCAAGTTGTCCACTGTAAAATTTTTTCGACGATCATTTAAAATGTGTTTAAAATTGGAGAATGTGCGTTCAACATCCACACTCGTTGTTGGCGCAAATTTGAATTTTGCAACTAATGTTGAATCTAACTCCAAATTTTCCACCTTCTGGCCTTGTAAAACACGAGCAACGTCGGAAAGAACACCAAAACCTGCATTCTTATTTAACACTTCGTCAAGTTTTTGAGATAATCTAGTACCAATATCACCCCTTACTGCGTTTGCTTGTTGTTTAAATTCTTTCACTAAGTTTATGGCATCTACCAACAACATGTTGGGTTTTTCTAACTTTTCTATTACCTCACATAGATCTTGTCGCAAATCTTTATTTTCCAAAATATTTATGCAATCTTTAATCGATTGAGAAGAATCTTCGCTAAACTCCGTAACTACTTCCTCAAATTCTTTGATATATTTGTCATAATAAAATGTGGCCTGTAACCATGTTCCCCACCTCGTTATAATCGGCTCTGGGGGCAATGGTATGTTTGGAAATTTTTCCTTCAAATGTTGCATTCTTAGTAAGGCTTTAACAAAAATCTTTTAACCATTTATTAACAGTAGGAAACTGCAAACGTATTCCTTTAGCCACTCTGTTTAAACCGTGGGCAATGTAAGTAGAGTGAATTAAATTGGGGTAAAATATTTTTAGATTATTTCCTGCTTTCAACATATAACGGGCTGCATCCGAGATCATGAATAAAATTTTATTCGCCGGTAGGGCATTTGGCAAAAATAGTGACGTAAGACTGTCATTTACAAATCTGGTAATCGTATTGCTATTTGTTTTATCTAACATTTTCAAACTTACTACATACCCTCGACTAGGGAAATTTTCATTTAAGATTCCAACAATTAAACTTGCCACGTATCTTCCACAACTATCGGTTGTTTCATCGACAGCGAACCATAAATAATTATCTCCAATGCGATGTTTAATTTCGTTGTAAACTTGCTGAAACACTGGACCTACATAATTTTTTGGGAGAGTACTTTCAACCGGAATATGTCGATTGCAGTGTTTTTCAAGCAATTCTTGAAGAGGGTCTTTCTCCAATTTTTTTAAAGGTATATTGGACTGGATCATCATTTTACATAAATCGAAATTAAACTGAAACTGCTCATCTTTTGTGGAAGTAGATGCAACAGATTCATGTATGGTCTGCTGTTTAATTTTAGAAACTTCAAACATTTTCTTCCTTTCTACATGAAGAGTCGTTCTGACATGTTGCGTCACGTTATATTTTTTATCACTTTGAATCTAAAACAACGTACATATACAGGATTAACAAAGGAAAATAGATAAAAAAAATTAGTGGGCTTACGGTTTTCACACAAGCTCTGCAGAATATTTTGTTGTTTTCTAATTTTAATTCTGGAAAATCCCGTATTCACTCATCCGGCGTCGATTTTACTTTCGGCATTCTTTTAAAATATTAGTAATATTACCAAAAATAACTCAACATGTAACAAGGGAGAACCACGTATAACACTGTACTACGACAGATGCGATAAACTGATGGTTGTGAAATAAACGGTTCATTTACTTAAAAGTTTCCATTAGAAAATTTTTAAGGTAGGTAGTTGGGTACAATAATCCTTTTTTCTAGAAAATCTTAACGGTTTTGTCGCAAAATGCCGAAAAAGAACATTTGGTTAAAAGCTTTAATTCATTATCAACGGAAGTAAGGATTTAAAGTCATAAAATCTATGGAGTATTTTTCCAATCCTATAATAAAATTTTATACCCAAACGACCGGAACCTATTCACAGAAAGGGTCTTGAATAAGTGTACTTCAATGGTCAAGTCCAGGTAAAATGCATACGATACGATACGGCTAACCAACAAGTATTTGTCATCCCGACAAGACCGGCATTTGAACAAAATATGCATTAAAACTTTTATTCGTCGAAAAAAGCATTAAATAAGCATATAAGTTTTAATATGCATAAAATTGAAAAAAAAGCAAATAAGCATAAAAAAAATGTGTCAAATGACTCCAAATTGTATCATAGTTACAGATATAAAAAAGTTTTGAAGTGCTTAGATTTTTCACAAAAAGCATTAAACCTAGAAATCCGCTCTCGAGTCATATCTGATCAGACGGTAGTTAGATATTTATTTATTGAATTTCAGAAAGAAATTACAAAAAAGAAGTGCTAAAGCTGATCCGTACTTGCTTTCACTGTTAATGTTTTCTCACTGACACTGATAAATTAATGTTTGTCGTATTATTAATACGTGTATATGTATTTAATATACCATGTGTTTCTTTTATTTAATACAACCCCTGAAATTTTTTTATTTTTAAAGATAAACATATAGTTCTTTGAGCAAATTTGTGTCATTTCAAAAGATCACTTATGTGAGTAAATAACATGAGTGTCAATTTTTCAAACTACTATAGATTGTCATCAATAAATATAAATAATTTTTCGTCTATTTTATTGAGTATTGATTTTAGAATATTGGTTGCTTTTGATTTTTAGAAAAAATCTGACTGGTCCATTAAAATGGTACAAATTTGCTCAAAGAACTACAGATTTATCTTTAAGAATAAAAAATTACAGGAGTTTTAATAAAAGAAACACCCTGTATATCTGTGTATAATATGTGGTACCTACATAAATATATTATTACGATTTACGGGTATTTAAAGTCGGTGTGGGTGCAACTGAACAATTTATTCCTCAGTAATACAAATTATGCGACTACAGAACGATTATTATAATTCCGTCTTAACTTAGACTCTAATATTCTCTCGTTGACTGGACCAACACTGACTGCTCCCGACGGTGCTCCCTATTTAAACCCATACGTTCCTTTCTGGATGGTTCGTCGTCATCGCTTCAAGCTCGTTCTGGAGCCGTCCGCAAAACAGCTTCTAGCCGCTTCTTTAGTTGAACGCAGCCCGGTCACCGCCGCCACCGATGATGAGGCCCCTATCGTCGCCGTACATACTAGAAACCCCTCGAGAAAACCCATAGGCGTCGAACCGAGCGGTGCATGAGTTTATTTCGTAACAATGTGTATACATTGTCTAACCCATACTCAGATACTGTGCTCAGATGTACATTTAAAGTAAAAATAGGTAAAATACATACCTACCTATTAATTTATCAGTGAAACATCCGTGGCGTGACGCCTACAAATATGTTTTATAGATAAGTATAACTAAAACAAGTTATTTCAAAAATGTTTCACGTAAAGTGTTTCAAATTAAACTAAATTTAAGTAGGGAGGATTTTTGTATATTTGGTTGCCATATTGCCGCCAGCCATGTGTTCTTTGTGTGAAATGTTTCATATTTCGAGATGATGGTTTACAGCACATTTTAGAAACACAAAAATGTACTGAGACACGACGTTTAATGTAGAAAATTGATTCTTAACACAATACTGTTGTTCCGCAAAACGTCCAGCTAGAGTCATTAATATAAATGCATTTTCTTGGTTATAAATAAAATTTTTAACTATTCTTGACCCTGAAATGACTTTAAAAAACAGATGTTACAACTATAAGGTGCAGTTTAAAAATAGGAAACTTACGAAAAATAGAATCTACAATTAATGCGATGTTTTTCTCGTTAATTTGCTGTTTATTAACAAATAAAAGAAGTCAGACCCTAATGAGCAGGTGTATTGTCGGCTACCCATTTTGCGGCCCACATTAACGAGAGCAGGACTGTAATAAACGATAAAATTTTGAGGTACAAATGAGAGCGATAGAGTATACGTAGACAATTACTTCGCTGGTCCATATTCCCTTGGTCTCCTTTGCGAGGCCGCCATATATTTCATGTTTAAAAAATAAAATGCTAAAAAGCACATTTGAGAGAATAAAAAGATTCTCCGGTTTTACAAAATCTTATTATTAATTCGTAGTGTTTCTGTCGTTCATATTATCTACGTTTTGATGGGAATAAAGTTTTCTTTTAAATGCAAATGTTTTAATCGCTTAACGTCCTAGTTAAGTAACAGTGTGTAACGATAGTAAAGTTTGTCCAGAATTATAAGAATTTTATGGACTCCCAACGTTAATTCGTTTTACAGCCCAGGCGTCAATTCTATTGTCAGGGGAAAGCCGATGTTTTCTGCACCTGAGTGCGCCCCGTTCTTCAGCTGTACAATAAAATTGACAACAGGGCTGTAAAACGAATTAACTTTGGGAGTCCATAAAATTCTTATAATTCTAGACAAACTTTAAGAATATGTTATTATGGCAATAGCGCCATTGACATTTCGGTATTTTGCTATCACTTATTGAAAAAAAAAAAACTACTAGGCAAAAGACTAAACGCCAGGGGACGCATTTGTAAACATCGGTTAATAATTTGTAAAAAAAAAAAAATAAAAATAACTAGTGAAAAAATAAAAATAGCGATACTTTCTATAAGATTTTTTTAACAAAAAAAGTACGGTAAATTGCTCATTATACAAAAAAATACTTAGATTACTAATATAGTGACGGACAACTTACGAGATACAAAGTAGGCGCAAAAGTGTAACTTTCTTGACCGTTTCAGATAAATTGTACAAAAATTGCCCACCGCTTAAAAACCTAGTAACGAAAATTCCTGTCAGTTCGTCAAAATGTCAACATCTCCGGTAACGTTCTCGCCTTAGAAAATCCAATGACAGCCCCCTTTCTAGGCCCCCCTCTTACGCCTATGCCATTTCGAAAGCCCCTTCCTCCCCTTACAACCATATTTCTGCTACCATCACGAAGTATGCTGCAAAGAGGGCTGCTGCAGCCGTTACGAATACAAATATTTTCAGTCATGGCATTTCTGGTACAAAATTTACGTAGTGTACTGAAATCTCAGGTAAATACGACTAACTTTTCACAATTTTCGTTGTACAGGCTAGGAATTCTCGTTTTTCTGTTGTTGTATCGCTACATTTGTTGGTACTGCAAGAGAAAAGAAAGGAACAATGCCAGACAGAACGAAGATGATGGGAATTCGCATGTAGTGAACCTAATGGTGTCGTATAATAATCGTAGCGGTAAGTAACGTCACGTCCGGCAGTTAAACCGTACTAGTCGTGGCGAATTTTTATTGGTTGCGATTTTTAGAGTGTACGCCCAAAGACGACGATGAGAGTTCTGACCCCCCTCCACTGTACAATGTTGCTATTCATTTACCCAAACCGTCGAATACTGATGAGGTCCCAACGTACGAACAAGCACTCGCACACCAATGAACTACAGTTTAGTTTTTTGTTTTTATTTTTTTACACCATAACCAACAATTTCGTGTAAATTTGTGTTTTTAAAACCTAAAATGATGTCTCCTTTTATTAAGTGTTTATAGGATGTTTTTGCTCTTGATGTGTTCCTGTTGATAAACACTGGTACTCTACCGAAATTTGCATTTTTGAATTTCAGTTTGGTTCCTTCTGGTAACTTCTCGTTTTCGCCATCAGGACTGCCAACCTCACCTATGAATTTATTGACTTTGGCTTCGTTGATGTCGTTTTCGACCTCTGCTTGAAAACCGTCGATTTTTTTGGATATTTCATCTAGATCTAGGTTTGTACTTGTGTCGTTTAAACCATCAGATATTACTCTGGAATTTATATCAAAAAGTTCATTTCTATTTTCTATATCTTCGTTATTTGAAATTATGCGTTCTTCGTTGACGTGACTAAATCTTACGTTCTTTCTTTTTTTTGTTGAGGACTGCTTTGAAGACTCTGCCTTTGGCAAACTTGGAGTTGAGGTGATGTTCAAAACTAGATCTAAACAAGGTTCTTCCTGAGTTTTGTCTTCACTTTCTTCCCTTTTGCTAATTTGACTATCGTCGCTGCATGCTGTAAAACTGGGGTTATCAACTGCCACGTCTTTCTTCTTTTTCTTCTTTCTCTTAACTTCAAAAGTGCTGTCATTGTAGCTATTTTGACTAGCGTCCATTATGTCAAAATTTGGGTTTTCTACGCCTGAACTCTCGCTACCTTTGTTCTTTTTTCTTTTGACTTCATATTCATTGTTTTGACAGCTGTTTTGGCTACTTTCTAAAACGTTAAAATCGGGATTTTCTATTCCAGAGTTGTCATTTTTCTTCTTTCTTTTTTTAACTTCATACCCATGACTGTTATTTTGACATTCTTCCACTTCATTAAAATTTGTATTTTCAGAGTTCAAGTTTTTCTTCTTTTTTTTTCTTTTAACTTCATAATCATTGTTGTGACTGTTAACTGGACTTTCTTCCATGTAATCAAAATTCGGATTTTCTATTCCAGAATTTTCGTTTTTCTTTTGACTTCTTTTAACTTCATAATCACTATTGTGACTGTTGGTTTCAACATTTTCCAGATTGTCAAAGTTTGGATTGTCTATTCCAGGAGAAACAGCACTTTTTTTCTTTTTATTGACTTTTACTTCAGTATGAATAGAACCATTCTGACTACTATGTTCATTTTCTGTTTCTACCAAATTAGTCTTGGTTTTCCTCTTTTTCTTTCTCTTTACTTCAAACGTGTCATTTGTTTGAATATCCATATTCTTATCGTCGTTTTCCTCAAAAGATGGATTATCCATTGGTGCTGATCGTTTCTTCTTCTTCTTTTTTTGACATTCTTCTGAATCATTTTTCCCTATTTCTTGTTCAGCAATCTCAAACATATTTTCCGTTATTCCTTCTGCTTGACCAGTTTTTTTCTTTTTCTTTTTCTCTTGTTTTGTATTAGAATTGTCACATGTATTTTCAGAAGTGACTATTTCAAGTTTTATCTTATTCTTCTTGATATGCACTTCACATTCTTCACTCTCTTCAACAATTGTATTCAAAACATGTTTTTGTACCTCAATGTTACTGTGCATCGGATCAAAAGCGGGATTCATCAATCCCTTCTCTTCCTCTCCCACTTCCATCCTCATTTTCTTTGGAGTCCCATTTACCACGTCATCTCCTGCTCTCTTTTTCTCAAACCCAAAACCAACTCGATCTTCATCTTCAGATTCCTCCATTTTTGTCAATACCCCATTGTTGCCAACCACATAACTATTAGTTTTTCCAAAATTTGGCAATTTTTTCTTAAAATAATCAACCATAGAACCACTATTACGTGCAAACCCGGAATCAGTTTGATTCTCTTTTGTTTCATTGCTGTCTTCACAAGTCGACACCATGGGAGAGTCTTTCAGACTTCTTTTGCCAAAAATGTTGGCTAAATCTTTTTCGCTCCAACGGCTTACATCTTTTCCTCGAGTGAATTTTTTATAATGCACCCGTACTCTCGAATTTTGGGATTTAGCCTCAAGGGAAGACCCTGTAACACTGTTTTCTGGTGGTTTCTCACCAGAGAGGGACTGTAGCAAAGCAGAGAAGTTTGTATCGTGTTCAGTCCATTGGTCGTTTCTGTCTTTATAGCCCATACCTGCAAGCAATGGGTAGAAAATCGTAAAGTAAGTGATTGTGATGTACCTTTACTGTCGTTTTTGTACGGGATTTTGACGTGCTCGCAGATACCATTTTCCCTAGGTCCTAAGCCCTTGCCTTTCGACCACCCCATTTTTTCTAACATTTTCTGGCCGAATTTACTGGAGTCTAAAAAAATGGCAATGTATTTGAGTAACAATAACTTCATTAATTTTTATTGAACGTTTGAGACATAACCTCACTTATTCACACATTAATTTTATTTAACAAAAAAATGAGTGAAAAGGAGTAGTTAAACAATTTTAAATTTCTTATATTATTAAAAATAATCAATTACCTTCACTCCACGCTTTTCCTCGTGGATTTAATGACCACTTTTGCTTAGTTTTACGTTCCGCAAGCATAGACATTTTGATGGCTTGCGGATCACACCATAGAATGAAATATACGCACGATAATATAAAACTTTTATTATATAAAAATATAAATTATACTATAATAAATAAAATTGGAGAGTAATTTTTTAAATACACGTGCATACTATCGTCTGACACTACTCAGATGTATTTGACTAATGACAGTATGACACTAATGACAGTTGTGCAGGAAATGCTGGAATAGTTCTGAGGGTTGTCGTTAGATGGCAAGACCTACTGAAAAAAATACGCATTAAAATTCGTCGAAAGCATAGATAACGCACTTACTTTTATCTATAATCTACACTATTTAAACTGAAATACTTGTCGACAGACTCCATTAATCCTTTTGTAGCCTTTTTTACAAGGCACTGTAATAATTGCAGCTCCGTTAATAATGTTGGGTTTAGACTGATTTTGGGGTATTTTTGTTTTTCCACTAGAAAATTCTACCACTAGCAGCAAAGAAATTAACACAAACATAAAAAACATTCGTTTGCGATTCATTTTAATTCACTATCTTTGCTTATCTCACAGATGACCTCTGCAAGTTCGTTGTTTATTTAATTAAATAAGTGTTACCAACATAAATAATTGGTGATTTTTGCAACAAAAAGCGCAATTTATTTCGTATGGGTTGGAGGCAGTGTTGTCAATTTACCGTAATTTATATTTTTCAAAAAAATCTAGTATTGTTAGTCAATAAATAGCCGGAAAATAGCCAGATAAATTTATTAAAGTTATTTTTGAAAATAGCCGGCTATTTAACAACATTGCAAAAAATATTGTATTTTGGATATATTTAAATTATATAATCAAAGCGGAAGATCAATTCCGCCAATATTTTTATTAATTTACTAATTGGTAAATCACAGTCAATTACGACCTGGTAGCTATCCTACACAAAAATTGATTTTTTTTTATTTTTAGATCACACTAAAATTAAAGCAGGTATGCATACTTAAACTACAGGTAAGTAAGCATGCTGCATGTTTCAACAGATGTGTGGATAAATGGATAAGTTTTGATTAATACCCTAGTTTACAAGGTTTTATATCCAAAGACAAAAATAGTTGAATCGAAAGGATTTGGGTTCGGGAAATTCAAACCTGAGACCAGAAAAAATCTATCGCGTCAGGTTTTTGAGATATTTATAGTTATAAGCATATCCCGTGTTTCTTTTATTTGATACAACCCCTATAACTTGTTTATTTTTAAAGATAAACATATAGTTCTTTGAGCAAGTTTGTATCGTTTTAAAAGATCACTTTGTGAATAAATGACATGAGCGTCAATTTTTCAAGCTGGTAGATTGTCATCAGTAAATATGAATTTTTCGTCTATTTTATTGAATATTTGTTAAGTATTGATTTTAAAATATTGGTTGCTTTTGATTTTTTACAAAAAATCAGTCTTTCCATTTATGAAAAAGTATACCTAGTGTAGGTTCCGTAAAAAAATAAGGTTGACGTCATTTCCGGTTCTACCGGAAGTAATAATAAAAAAGTGAGGTTGTCATCACATCGATCTTTCAAAATGATACAAATTTACATACAATTAATTAAACAGACAAAATGTTTATTTAGACAAAAATCAGCAATACAGTATTTAATTATTTCTTTAAATGTTGCAGCTTTTGAAAATACATTTTCGCTTCATATGCCATGGAAGCAGAATGACAGGAGGGAGTACGCTTCATTGAACCAGTGTGAAAGAAATGTCAGCAAAATAGCTTCACGCAAGAGCTCTTTATGACCCTTTCCGTACTATATCGCTAACGGACGATCAGAGGCGGTGCCGTTTGGCTTAAAATGAGTATATAAGTAGTAAAAACGTCTTATAATTTACGTAATTATGGTATAAAACAGAAATATATATTACAACATAAAAGCTCTAATAAACTTGACTGTTACCGCTTTTATATTCTATCTTATTAATTTATTTTTGTGTTTTATGTGCAGTTCTAGCTAATCTGTGAAGGTTTTTTTTTTGGTATTTTCGAGCCCACAGGGTCCAGAAAATGTTAGAAATTAAAAAAAAAACTCCAAGTGTTACATTTCTGAAGTTTTTGGACGACTGTCATGAATCTGCGACCACCTGAACGTGTAAAATATGTCCAATCGTCTCCTTTTCATAATTGTCAAAACAAGTCAAAATATAGTAACGATAACTCATAAACTTCGACAAAAATATGACTTACAGCAAAAAAATTTTGAATGGTGAGATTTAAATTTTCATTTTTGCACTGGATCAGTAAATTTTGTAACTGAGATCACCGACTTAATTTTAAAGTAGCTGACAAAATCTGCAGTAAATCATATGGAGAAATTTTCTGGTTGCCTGAAGAAAATTTTACACCACTAATAACTCTCACGTTGCATCCACAATCGTTAAACTCCACAAGATTAAACCACAAACAATCATTTAACATTCTGACAGTACACTGGTCTATTTCTCGGACTTTTTCTTTAGAGTTTTGTATGATATTCTGGTAATAGTCAATAATTAACATAGCTTCAAAAAAAAAGCTTCCGTTTCTTCCTCATTTTTTGTGGTTGGTCAATAATAATATGGTCTAAAGTGAAATAGTTAATGCACACAGCAGACGATGATCGTGGAGTCCACTGTTGACTTGGAAAGAACTGAAGTCAAACTTCTCTGGACAAGGCCTCTTTAGAAAAACCAAAAGTTCTTTTTCAGCGTTGTTCCGTAATTTAATTTACAACCACGCGTTTAATAATGTCGGGACATGATGAATCGAAAACCATGAAGTTAGTTAATTTTTTGTATTTACTCTTCATTCCTTAATAATTAGAGTTTTCGTAGTACCTTTGATACTAATTTCAAAAACTTGTTACACGAAATATGCAGCAAAATAGAAATTTGAAATACATCGTGTGTTGTATCAATTATGTTGAATGTACTAGTGCTTAGTAGGACTACGTACAATCGCACGCAAATGTTTTGAGCCTATGGGCGGATCATTTTTGCCGGTCGTCACCGAGGAAGGCGGTCCAAATATTTCAAGGGCAGAATTTGTAGGTAGGCTCAAACTACAACGAAATTTGGTGAAGACGTACACCAAATTCTTACTCTGAATTAGTTTTAATTTTATAAATACCCTATCTAAAATGTTGTGATTTACCATTCCAATTATATTTTTTGGATTTGTTTATACAGGGTGACTCAAAAAAAAAATGACTGAGTCAATTTATTTTATTGAAGAAATCAAGAATTGCAAAACTGAATACTTTGAAATCTTGTCAATTAGTTGGAAACTGAACCCATTTTTTTTTGCAATATCTGTGATGTGCTATTAGTTTCCGTAACTTATAAAATTAGAAAAAAAAAAACCCGTTCTGCTCTAATAAAATCGAGAAAATCCTTAAAATCGCACTAATATTAGGTCTGACAGTGCCGACCATAGTTATAAAATTCGCATTAAAATAAGTCACGGATATTCTTTGAAGTGTAAACAAAAAAACATTTTTAACGGAATGTTAATGAATGTTATATTAAATGTATTGTTATGCGTTTTCTACACCTTTTCCAACTGTAATTCATACACTACCAAGTGTAATTTAGAATAGTCAAGTTTAATTCAGAAAGCGTCAATTGTAATTCCTATTAGTTACTTAATTGCGACTGTTGCTAAAGCCGAAAAATCATTCGCAATGACAGGAGTATATCCCTGCAATCCCGACAAATTTAATGATGAAGATTTTGAACCATCAATAGTCACAGACAATGTATAAATTAATGAAAATGAGAACACAAACGAGGAAGACCGAGATGACCAATCAATATAACAGCAGAAAACTTACAGAAATTTTTGACGAGTTAAATACACCATCAACGAGTGGACAAATATTGGTTGAAACTCCTGCGACTATTTTACCGGAACAAATTTTGTACCAGTACCAAAAGCCAAAAGAGAGAATAAGGTGAAAAGAAGAAAAAGCAAAAAATCAGAGGTCGTAACTAGCTCTCCTTTAAACAAACACTGGAAAATAAAAAAAAACGCACCTTCAAAGAAAAAAGGATTCTGTTAAAGTGAAAAAGAAGAAGAAGCAAAACAAAGTTGTTAAAAATGCGGGCATTTGGCCTGGATGTAGTAAATTTTATGACGATCCAACTACGGATATTGACCTAATAGAATGTTGGAAATGTTCAAAGTGGCATGACATTTGTACTGCCTATCCCGATTTTGGAAAATTCAAATGTGATTGATGTTCTAATTTTCATTAATAGGAAACAGTTGCTCAAAGAATTACTCTTATTTTGTATTGTTTTTTGTTGTTTTTTGAAGTTTGGTTTTATAATAAAAGTTTTTAAATAAAACAAATTACTTTTACTCGCTTTGTAATTCGTTATCATTTCATTTGATTGGCTGCGTACTCTTGAACTGGTTGATGCGTACTCTTGTACTATTAGTAGTGTAAGAGTACCCAAACGCCGGTCTAGGACAATTCGGCGCGGCCGACTTGGCGCGGCCAACTTGGCGCGGCCGACTTGGCGCGAGACATTTTGGCGCAAAGCCAACTTGGCGCAGGGACACTTTGGCGCAAGCTATCTTGGCGCGGACCATCTTGGCGCGAATGAACTCGCACCAAGAAAAATAGATATAATTATACAAAAATTGTACCCGTTGTTAGCATAACCTAATTTTTATAGTCTCCAACGCGTGGTGGGGTAATGTCGACTTTTTAATGGACACACGGGCGCTTCGCGCCCTGCACCCCATTATAAACATACTCCTAAACGTGGAACTCCTTGCTCCGTGGATCATTTAGTTATTGGAATTTGTGCGAATGAAACTGTGTATTTGGTTGCCTACACTTAGCATAAATAACAGAGTGCAAACCACGGTACAAAAAATAAATATTTTTTATATTATATACCGACGTACTCGCGCCAAGATGGCTCGCGCCAAGATGGCTTGCGCCAAAGTGTCCCTGCGCCAAGTTGGCCTTGCGCCAAAATGGCTCGCGCCAAGTCGGCCGCGCCAAGTTGGCCGCGCCAAGTCGGCCGCGCCAAATAGTCCCATTCCGCCCAAACGCAGTGTTTAGAAATTTAATTTTTTGCAACTAAAATCGTGCCTATAATTGCACTTAACAATATTTTGCTGTTAGAAATTAGGTCTGATTGCCTGAAGATAATGTTATTTTTAATTTTTATACAAAAGCAGCTTTGCTGTGATGACTTAAATACTAAGTGAGTACTCTTGCCCATCCTTCCCCTACTACTGCTACTTCTACCGCAACATCCATTTTTACGTATAAGTAAGTAGTATGTTTTCTGTATTATATTTGGAACTGAAAAATTTACAAATAACTTAAGTATAATATTCCCCACAGAGCTGACGAGCTTTGCTAACATATTCTTTTTTTAATACAAACAATTTTATTACCGGTAAAACGACCAACCTGCAAGAAGCCTATTCTTCAAAGTCTTCTCAACAACCTAAAGGACAATTATGTGCATCAGTTGTCGAGGATTTAAGTTCTTGTACTAGAAATTATCTTTTATTTTGTCGAATTAATAAAGCCGCTAACGAAATGTCCAACAGAAATTATTATTATTTCGTAGAACAATACCACCAAATGAGATTTTTAAATGTTTCATTGTTAAAACGGCCACGAGGTCGTTTATTTTGAATGGACATTAGAGTTCGTCATGTTTGACATGACACGTTATAAAGTATTGAGCGTTGTTTCAATCTGATGCAGGCTGTGTTCAAATCGTCAAAATGTGACAATCAATTATTAATTGTCAGTGTTTAGTTGTTAGTTTTTACACGTTGTGGAATCTTAAGCTACACTCTCTCATTTTCACTACATGCTACCAATATTTCTACTACTGAAAGTCAAACTTTTTAAATAAAATTCAATACTTGGTATTCCTGTTTATATTAAAAATATGCTTGTAAACATAATGTACTAAATTTAAAATTTTCATCAGGGTTGTAATAACTCTTATAGCAACGATTGCGTCACTATGGTGATGTCACAACATTTAATCAACAAAAACGTTGACGTATTGTAAAATCAGAAATTTGAAAAAACACTGACTTCTGGTTCCTCACTGTGAGTATGGTATTATTATTCTTTTGCTGTTATCTTTGTCTATATACTATACTATATATTGTACTATAGATATCTATCTTATTCTGATTGTATGCCTGAAAATTTGTTTTCAAACACGGTCCATAACATGGCGGTAGTTAGGTATATTATTTGTTATTACTCCTATGTCAATAGACATGATGAAGGGAAGAGTATAGAATTAAATAAAAATGATCAATTTGGATAATTTAAAAGATCAATGGTTTGTTTTTAGTTTTCTACTATATTACACTTTGGTAAATATTGTTTATTGATCTTTTTAGCTAATTATCATATTTCCGTAGGTACCATTTGATTTTAATACAGATAAAAATTTAAGAAAGAAATATATTAATAAATTTACTTACATATTGTTCATAATAGTAACAAATACTAAATGTTGTTCACATATTTTGATCATAACGTCATCTACTTATCAAATTTTATATAACAATGCTAAGTAAATGCAGATTTTGAAATTCAAAAATCGTACAGATATTTTAAATATTAGTTACTGACAGCATTTACATTGACTTTGCTTGAAATGAACTGTTATAACACTTTCCCAAACCATTTTTTTTCCGATTCCACATCTCTTAATTTTACTAATTTTTCAAATCGTACTGATATCAGCGTTAAAGTTTTAATACAGATCTCGATATGTCATTTTGACTAATTCCACATTTCTTTCTTAGCTTGTTTCCATGGATGCCACTCAGCTTCTCCTCAACGAGCAACTCGTCACCATCACCGGTGACGCACTTACCATTAAACGCCTCAACCAAGACGACCAATATTTGGCGGACTATGTGAACCGGGCGGCAAAAGCCGGCCAGTTCCACTTCCTGTTCATCAAGGACCCAACTCTTCGTCGAATCGTTGTTAAAAGAGTTCCTTCCACCTTTATTCCCGTTTGGTGCAAGAAAGGTAAACGTTCTGATTCTGAAAGTGACACCGCTGCGTGTCTTCTGCTCCTCAAATTACGCAACACTGAGAAATACTTGCAGCGGTTCCAAGATGGCGGCTCTGAGAATAAGGTGTGGGAGGAGCTTGCGAGCGAGATGCGATTGGCTGGTTATGACGTAGATGCACAGAAATGTGCGCAGAAGTTCGCTCAGTTGACTCAGAGTTATCGGAAGAGGAGCGATTGTCAGGGTATGGTTCTGTCTCCCGAAATGCGGGTTGAATTGAGGAAGGTTTTGGGGGAGAAAAAAGGAGAGAGCGAGGAGGAGGATGAAGAATGGTTACCTAAGTCGAAGAAGAGGAAGAAGAATGGGGAGGAGGATGACGCGGAGTTTTTGAAAAGGTTTTTAAAGAGAAGTGGAGAGTTGAAAGAGGAGAGGTTTAAAGAGGTGTGTACGTTGATGAAGAGGAGGAATGAATTGTTAGAGGAAAGGTTGAAGCAGAATCGGGAGGTTGTGGAGGTGTTGGCAAAACTGTTGAATAAGTGATTTCATGTCTTATTATTTATTTCATAATAAATAGGTTTTTTTTACAAAAGGGCTAAACTTTTATTGAAAAGAGCAAACTGTAAAATAAGTTTTCTCTCCGTGTACTGAAAATCTGCATTTCAGAACAATTCAGAACAGTAGGTACATATTGAAAGATCTCTGGAAGCACTGTTGTTTTCACAGATTTGAAGTACTAAATTTATCAACACATAGTACGTACTTTCTATTCTCTCTTTTGGAGATTTTTCTTTAACTCAAAATTTGCTTCTGACAACAAATAATTCAAAATGGAAGACCTCTCTGGAAGCACTCGTTTTTATAAGTTCGAATTAATTTATCAATCCATATGGTATGTACTCTCTTTGAGCGTACATGTCAGCGTTTTTGTGGTCTGGTGGATGCCCATGCAGTAACTCAGCCATGAAACTGATATAGGTAATAGCCAGACGAAGAGTTTCGATTCGTGAAAGTCGCTTTTCGTACGCAAAAGTTGGCACCTATGATTTGGACAACTTTTACTTTCATTATTTGTTTGTTTTATACTTACTTTTCTTCTCAGTTTGTCGAAAGCTTCGTTCAAATTAAACATTCGTCTTCTTTCGCGTATGTTGGCTGCTCTCCTTTGAGCCAAAGTCGCAACTCTTCTGCGAGGCTTTTTTTGAGATTGACCACCACTTTGAGGGCCGTTGCGACCCAGTCGGTTGCTTACGAGACCACCACATTGTTGTCGCGGCCATACTGAAAGTTTTGTGGATTTTAGTTTTCAAAATTCTGTAGGGTTAGGCATCTAGGAGGATCAATAAATGTCAAAAATGTGTGTTTTTAGAATTTTTCAAAACTCACATTTGACAATTGATTTGTACACTATCCAAAATTTTTTTGAAACCTTTTTTTTGAATAATAACAGTTCCTTAAAAATCTTGTTGCTTATGGCCTATAAAGTGGATAAACGCAAAAATTATTATATCTTTGCGTTAAAAATATCTACAGAAATGAAATTACACTTTTGAAATTTCGAAATAATATTGCCACCTTATTCCAGTTGTCAGGAATTTTTTTGTGTAATGCAGGGGTTCGCAAAAAAATCATAAGGGTTATCTTTAGCATCTGTTGCAATACTTTTGGTGGAGAAAAAGCAAGGGAGATGTTTTGTTGGTATCAATTTAATTGAATATTAGTATATGTAGAGTGTTATTAATTTTTTTAACATTACAATTTTCAAATATTTATACTTGAGATTGTCTGTTCAAAAATCGCTAACAGACGACAAAAGAACGACATGCCGAAATGGAGACCTACTTGTTCATACTTCAGTAGTGTTAATGAATTATGGAGAAAACATAAAATTATGTGTTCACTAGATGGACTCTAGCTCTACTCAGTGGGGAAAACACACTGTATGAATTGCTTGTTACAAATTAAAATTAAATGAGGTTTAAAGATATATCTTACCTAGTTCTGAATTAAATGCTGTTAGAATATCCGGATAACCACTGAGAGCCGGATTTTGACTCCCTAGGCAATGATGTGGATCCCATAGACCGCCATAACCCCCTATTTCGTTCGGATAATTGGGAAATTCGGCACCCTACCAAAAATTACAATGTATCAAAACAATTTATCGTTTTCAAAATAAGATATACCTAATATACAATGATGAATTCTAGTATCCAACATTTAAAAAAATTGTGTAAATCTGTAAAATATTTAATGTTTTTTTTCAGTTTCATTTTTAGTATCAGGTGACCATAGGTTTTCTTTAATTTAAATTTGGCTCTTATGGAGTTAATAACACATTCTCGAAATACAATATCTTCGGTATTAATTTTTGAAGATCCCTTTAAAATCATTCTTTTGCATTTTTAGCAAAGTAAGTAAAAATAGTGTTGTGGTGACCAAATTTAAATTAAAATTTTGCGTTGAAAGAAAACAGCGGCGCGAAATCGCATTTGAATAATTTGAATTTGAAAAAAAAAAAATAAGCAAGAAAATCGTTAAACATAGGCAACATGTGCAGTGCAAGTTTAGTTCTTTTCTAATAATTGGTAGCTCTTCTTGGGAATTTCTGGGGAGTATCTAGTGAGAGGGTTGGTAGAAGTTGACTTGCTTGATAGAGGGTAAGATGTGTCACTCTGTTCTGTGGCGTCACTGTTGTTTTGTTTATTATGAGTGAAGGCACGCGGTAAGGAAGCTAGATTAAGTTTAGTTGGTTTGGTAGTTAATAAAAAGGGGAAACCTTGTTTAACGAAAATTAATTGAATCGATGCCACAGTTTTCCACAACAAGCGTAGCTAATTCTTGCGGTTTTTCCAAACGGAAATGTGCGAATTTTTTATCGACGCTAATACGTGGTGTAAATTTGTTTTATTTTTTGTAAATATTGTAAATTCATATTAGGTTTTTTTTTAATCATTACTAGTTCTAACACAATTTAACAGTCAAGAGATTGTTCAGATAAAGCACTTGCTAGGAGATTTGATGACATTCACTTGGTCAGGACTCATCCTTTGATTATGAAGTTATAAATAAGGTTTCTGTTATAATGTAATACTTAAGTATAATTTTACATCATGTAAATTCTTTGATTGAATCGTTAATAAAGTGTGGCATAATTTAACATCATGTATATTCTTTGTTTGAATCAATGATAAAGTGTGGCAAATATTAACCTCATGTAATTTTGTTAGCTTTGCTATTTTTCACCTCATGCAATTTTTTCTTTATCTCGAAATTTTAGCCTCAGTAATTTTCTTTGCTGTATAATTTAAATTGAACGTAAATTTTCACGCTGTGCACTTCCTAACCTCACGTAATATTTTTGTCTGCACAAGTTTTACTTCACACCAGACTTTTTTTTGTTTCTATAAATCTTTGCTAGTTATTTCTACCACGTAAATATTTTGTTGATTAATGCTTCTATTATATAAATTGTCTGATGCCCAGTCTTAATCTTTCTTTCGCTGTTTAAAAATTTCACGAGGGTGTATGGCGAGTTCAAATGTTGTTTAACAAGTTTAACACTCGTTCACTTCTAGTTTAATATCAGAGTCATTGAAAGTGATCATTTAAATGGAATTGAGGTAAATAACACAGAAACACGTGGCAGAAGCGGAGGACGCGGTTCCTAGTCGAGCTGGTGGGATTTATCGCGCCATCTGCACAAAAGACGCGGATCTAGAATAGAAGTCAGAGGAGCGGTCGGGATGACGTGACGCTCGCGGCTTGGCTCAACAGCCAGAATTTCTAACCACGAGTTTGCGACAGTAACGGCCTGTGTCCGCGCACCACGTTTCTTCGTGTTAGAGGGGTGCTGGGCGGCATGTGCTTGCCCATAGAATAGAATTACCGTCGTGGGTAGCAGAACAGCCACAACCAGGAGCCCCAAACTTTTTTGAATTTTTTTTTATTTTCGCGGGATTTTCAATTTTTTTTTCATATGTCAATTCAAGGCGGGATGTTTGGGTTATCACAGTGTTTTAGACAGTATTAAAATTTTAATAATGCTAAATAAAAAAAATCTGTATCAATAAAGGACTTATCAGCTTTTTATAATTCGTTATGAAAAACCTTCATAATTTACATAAAGACCATAAATTTATGTGGCCTGTTAGTTCAGGTTTTGATGACCAATTCCAAAGCTGCAGTAAATAGCATGGTATTTAAAAGATTACCTTGTCCAACATCTACATTTATGATAAATAACAAAAACTACTTTAGGGAATATTAAATATTAGTATGTTTGTACTATTTTTCGAAGTCACATGCTTACCACTTGAGCACAGCATGACGGAATGATTCAAAACTCATAACTTATCTATCTGTAGGGCGTAAATTCTATAAAAAATAGTAGCACAAGCATATAAAAATTTGTATGCGTTTTGATGTGAACGGCGTTTTATAAATATGTACTTAATATTCTGCATCTGAAATATCCTAGTCTATCGTATGTATAGCCCTATAAGGCTAATAAGATTTTACTTCCTACCAGAATCTAAAAAAAAAAATAAAAAAATAAAAAATTTAGTGACGTATGTAAATCGGATGAAAAAATGATTTTGCTATAAATAATATTTTTGAAATTTTGAGAATTTATGGAAATTCTGCCGTTTATTATGAAAATTTAATGAAACTAGAAGTGTTAAAGAACGTCCAAAAAATTGCTACAAATTATTATCATTATTATTTTGCATCTTCTCACAGACGGTTGTCCAATTATCAGAAGACAAAATGTGTTGGAAACGCAGGCTTATATGAGAAATTCGTAAATTAAATATGAACTTTTAATTTTTTTAAATCACTTATTTTGCAGAAAAATATGTCGATTTCGTCGAACTCTTGTGATGTATGCCGTGGCGGGTAGGTTCCGTCTAGTTTATACATCGCAAATTTTAAAAATTTTCTTTGAATTTTTTCAAATAAATCGATATATTTCTGTTGATAAGGAGACCATACTCGTATAACGCTTACGTATTCAAATTTAGATCTGACGAATGTGACGTACATAGTCTTTATGATAGCAAGTTGTTGAAATTCGCGTACGGTTCTCATTAAGAAGCCAAGGGCTTTATAAGAAAAATTAATTATGTTATTGTAGTGAGTAGTAAAGTTTAGCCCAGAATCAAACGTAACCCTTAAGTTTTTGATAAGTTCAGGTCTATTCAGCTGGAAGCCGTTCATAATGTAACCGTGGATTATAACATGCACTCTGTTTGTAAATGTAAAAACGTGGCATTTGTCTTTATTCACCTCAAAACCACTATTAGAACACCAGTCAAAAACCTTTAGAACATTTTTCTGAAGTTGGAGGATGTCTTCCGAAGATTTGATACGCAGAAATAATTTTTAAATCATCCGCATATAACAAACATGGAACAGACAAGTCATCAACAATATCATTGATAGATAGATTGAAAAGCAACGGCCTCAAGACCGAGCTCTGAGGAACTCCAGACGTAACATAAATATTGTTTGAGAAATAGCCATTATAGACAACACATTGTGTTCTATCCGACAAATACGAATGTAAAAACTTAGCAAGATTTTGGGACAGACCAAAATTATGAAGTTTCGCTGTTAGTAAAAGGTGATCTGCCCATCTATACTAAATGCGTCTATTTTTTCGGAATCCATATATCTACTACCTTGACAACTTAAAGCACTAGGAATTCTATTGTCTCTGTTTTTACAATTAATGAAGGACCAAAATCTTTTTGGTTCAGCAATAATCTTCAGTTCTGCCTCTGAAATTAAATTAGCGTAATCTTTTTTTTATGGTTAACCTAATCTGGTTCCTTAGACAGCGAAATTCATTAAGAGCTTGCGGATTACCTGTTGCTTTATACTTCTTGAAGTAAGACCATTTAGTCTTAATAAGTTTGCGCAGCTTATTACTGAACCAAGGCGGAAACAAATGCGACGATTTCCTATATCTACAAAGAGGCCCGCAATCATTAAACAGGAACTGCAAAATGTTATAAAAATGAGAACACGCTTCATCAACATCATTAAAATTTTCTAAGGTGGACCTGTCAACTTTCTCCACAGTATTATACAATAAAGGTATATTAGCTTTGCGGAAATTCCAAAATACATAACTACTAACTGTTGATGTGGGTTTTACAACTGTTCCTTTCAAGTTTTGAAGTTTTTACAGAATAAGTTATAAGTAGAGCTGGGTGGTGCAGATCTTCTGTAAGAGTTGGGTCTTCAGACTTTGAAACTATCAAGATCAAGAAAAATGTTATGATGATTTGGAATTTCATTAAGTTGTGTAAATTGCATTATATTTAAAAACCTACTAAGTAAATTAATCTTGTTATCTGATAACTTAGAATGGGCCAGCCAAAGACGCACGCGGATCAGAGCTCCGCTACAACTTTGTAAAAAGTGTAGAAAACCCGCAGTTTCACCTACGAAAACTATAAAGTGTATAAAGTGTGGAAGTGTATTCCATATAAGTTGTGCAAAACAGAATAAATCGACGAAATTTATAGATGAAAACTTTTTAATTTGTTGTGAAGGCGATGTCAAGGTAGGTCAAGACACTGACACAGAGTTCTGGGAGGCAATCAATGAACAATCACCTAACAATATGACAGATATACGTTTTTTCAATTACATTGTTAAACAAAAGGACACAGTTATCAATGAGCTACATGACAAGATTAAACTTCTGAATGAACAAATTACCTTGATGAACAACCTTCAGCAATGTAAAAACGACAACAAGAGCTCACTAAACTATCAGAGTGACGAGGCAAAAAAAACCGCCAAAACAAGGAAAGATAATGACCGATGTTAATGTAAACAGGAATGAGCTAAATAAGGAAAACCCCAACCCGGAAACACAGGTAAAACCTACCGAGCAACGAGAAAATATAACAAAGGAAACTGTTCAAACTCAGTGGAAAACCATTACCACAAACAAAAAACGCCCTGACAACAAACCAATCGTTGGAAGCTCTGCCAGCTGTAACATAATAAAATCTGCACCCAAAAAAGCTTATCTACACGTCTATAGATTGCATCCAGACACGACGGGAGATCATCTCGAGCAATTTCTGCAACAAAAGCTATCTGATTTTCAAT